AATTAAAGTGTACGTAGCAGGACACACTGTCCTCTTACATGGCAAGGTTGTAGTTTCCTATACAGGAACTGTATTTGCAAGTCAAAGCCTTTCAGAGCAGGATGCAGCAGTTTGAAATTTCAAAGGAAAAAGGCTTGATACCACTGTATGTGTAAGTGAGAATACTTCTCCACCCTTTCAAGATTAAATAAGAATTTTCTGCAAGATATTAGGGAGTTGGCCTCAGCTTGAGCCTCAGGAGCAACCTGTGGTTTGGAGGACTCTGTGCCAGTCAGCTGAGAAGGAAACTGCCAGGAATTCAGCAACATGGAGATGGTCCATCACTGTGTCCACACAGTTCACAGAAGAGATTATTCAAGGCTCAAAGTCTATTAAAATAATTCTGTAATTAATCAACAGGTGAAATGGAGGCCTTGTTTCCTTGGAGGAGAAACAACATCACTGCTTGATTCTGCTAAACTACTCTACTGCTAAAATGGATGCATCTTAGTTAAGAAGGCAATGTGCACTGTTTAAAACCAGATAAGAAAGCAAAGCAAAACAAGAGCCAACAGCAGCACTTGCAAGGCACTCTCCAAAGTCAGTTCCCTGTCTCCTCCCCTGCCCTCCTCTTCTTTCCCTTTCCCTCAGCTCCATAAACATAGTTAACAGTATAACATACTTAACAGTGCCTTTAGAGAATCTGGTATAATAATCATAAGCAAAAATGACATTTGATGAAAACTATTTTTTAAGAATAAGTAGGATGGCTGGAAAAACATTTTTCTCTTTTAAAGGGAAGTGATTATGTTCTTTCTGTGAGAAAGGGAAAGTATGCTTATAAAAAAAAATATAAAAAAATATACTAATCCAAAGTCAACTCTGCAATATTAAATGATTCAGTTTACATATCTTGTTACCACAAATTCTTTTTTTATTTCTCATGCAAGTTGTTACTCTTAAATCTTATATATATATATATATATATATATACTTCTGTAACATGTTTTGATTTAGCTGGGGTTTGTTCCAAAGAATGGTTATACTTTGCAATCATCCAGGCAAGTATTTAAGATGAGGCTCTGCTTTGCTCCTGCTTGTACAGAAACATTGTCCTCACATCCCACCTTCATGGCAAGCCAGAGGCATGGGACAGTGCTACTCAAGGGTGTGTGTAAATGTTCTCCCTGACCTCTGAATCGATCACCAAATCATGAGCTGGACATGTGTCCTCCTCTATCACTTCCATTCAGCACCAGGGTTGATCAATCAGATATCAATCAGATATGACTGAAGGGGGGACGTGTGGGTCTGTTTCTGCTGATAGGAGGAAAAGGAAGACATAGGTGAACACAGAAAAGTTTTATGGAAAATAGAAACTTTCCAATTGCCATCGCTAGCTGCTGCGCTAGATTGTCAAATGCAGGAAGACCATGGTTTAACTCATTTTTGTACTTTTAGGAGAAAAAGAGTTGCTACTGTTAGTGGCAGAAACACTAACCCAGAGAACGTCTCAATCTCCTTTAAATTCACTTTTAGTCAGTCCTTGAGCTGCATGTGCAGACAAAGAAGAGGCAAATGAATGCAGCGCGCAGCTGTGTAAGTACCTCACAGGCTGTAGCCAGATCACAAAAAAACTTCTGTCTGCCTGGGCTGTTTGAAGGTGACAAATGCTGGTGGCCCCAAAGATTGCTACAGCAATGCCACTTGCACTTTGGGACCTGGCTCTGGTTGCTAATGCAAAATAACATGGATGCTTTACCAGTCCTCCCACTCTTGTGCCAGCTCTGCAGCTGTACTGAGACAAGCAAAGCGCTAAAGACCTTCCTCAGCTGAAGGTTTGGGTTTTACTTAACTATATGGAATGTGTGCATAAGGTCAGATTGTGAGCAAGATGCCACGGCCATTAAAAAGCTGTCTGGGGCTTTGAATGCCGAAGGGCATGCAGATGACTCACTGAAACTCTGTCAAAACACAAGACATCTGCTTAAAGATGTTTCCTGCCAGTCCTTTTGCGTGGTTGGAAATAATGGGCCAGGGATCCTCTCCTGCTCCACCAGTCCTGGCAATGGTGGGCTGGAAAAATGCTGTAAGCCATGTTTCCCCTCTGAATGATGGCAGCTGCTGCTCAGCTCCAGGCAGCAAAAGGAACAAGGGAGAGTGTCAGCATGGGAGCAGCTCATGCCAAGGCCCTCGTGCTGTGCTCTTGGTTCCCCAAGGGCTATCAAGTTATGTGAAGCCATTTCTATTGCTGTCCCCTGCTCCCAGAGCTTGTGGCAGAAGGTCACAGCTTTTTAGGAGGTCCTGCCTGCTTCCATCTCTGTTCTCACCTTATGGAACCACACGTCACTTTGGGACATGACAGTTTAACACACAGCAATAGCTGCAGTGATCCCAACAACTCTGAGGAACACACTAGAATTATTAAGGCGATAGATAATCTTCTCCAACAAGAGGCTAGAAAAAGAAACACTTTCAAAATGAAAATAATAGCAATTTGCCAAAGCTTTTAATAAGATTTGGTGTTGAAGATGCAGCCCTCATGACACAACCTGACTTCAAAGAAAGCGTCGGTGTGTGAGATACATAGACATGCACCTCTAAGCAAACATGCGATAAACAACAAAGCACCATCACTGGCTTGCCTGTAACACCTCTACCTTAAAAAGCGTGTGCCATTGTATTTTTTTCCCTCCTTATGAAGGGTCAGGCCTAATTGTGCTGCCCTGAGAAGACAGCATTTCAACTACAAATGAACTCTTAAAACTATTTCATGTTAAAAATAAACTTTAAAGCAAAGCACCAGATGCTGCCTTGGAACATATCACGGAGCTTTCATGAGATGCATGCATCTGTCCAGCTAGAAAAGCAACTGCTTCAAGCAAACTAATGGCTTTTCAGTGCTGAGAAAAAGGGTAAAATGGCAAAATACAGCAGAAGGCATTGGAAAAAAAAAAAGTTAAAAAGGTCTGTGCTGGAATTATGTGACTTGGATAAAGTTTTGGATCAAAGTTTGAATCACTAGTAAAAACAGATTGAAACTGTCAGAGATGCATAGAAATATTTGTTCATAAAGCAGAAGGAAGGGAACTACTTCTCATATGCATGAAAATATAAAGGTTTAGAGGCAAAGATCCATCTAATTTTATGCTAAATTATTTTTACCTGAAAGCTTGGGGAACATGACAATTTTCTTGAAATTTTAGCTTTACAGAAGCTCTAAACAGATGCTGATGCTTAGTGAAACACTAGGGAATGAAAAAAAAAATGCTGAATTTAAGTGCTAACTTTAGTTGTTCTACTTCTTACTACTGATTTATAGACAAATGTGTGCCAAATGGCACCTCTGTTCTTATTTTTAAATATTCATCTTCCTGTCTTGTTATCCTAATGAGCATGGGCCGTCTTGGAATTGCTAATATATCTAGAGTGAACATAGAGATTTCACAAGTAAATCTTCAAATGCTTTACAAGTCACCCCTACTAACACTTTACCTAGGTTTTAGAGCAGGAACAGTACAGGTATTGAGAATTACATCAATTTTACAGAAGAGGAAAGTGACACAACAAAAATAGGTTAATCAACCCAGGCCATAAAAAAAATACTAGTAAAAATGTAATCAAGCATAATTCAAGCATAATGAATTCTTTTTTTTTTTTTTTTTTTTTTTTTCCTGCTTTTTGGACCAACACAACGTTTAGTTGCTATATAATAGTTAAGCATCCCAAATCAGAGCATATCCAGCTATTTAATCATTGATGTATAAGACGAGGTACTGGAACATTTACTTCATGTGCTTACCATGAGTTTCTCCATAAAGCAAAGAATGGCCCTATATTGTGTTTTATCATCTCAGGTCTTTCTGTCTCCAATGGAAGATAAAGACACCTTCTAGTCCTGAAGGAAGATCTTTCCACCTTGCAAAACAGAGGGCTCATGCTTGCCAGCAGAGCAGCCCTATCACACAACTGTGAAGCAGGCAATCAATTTATTTCTCAAACACAAGTGGCAGAAAAATGGAAAATTTTGCAATTTTAAGAGTTTCATATTGGGAATAAAATATCTTATTTCCTGTAACTGAAGTAGAACTGCAGATGTAACATACAAACTTTTAGAAGGATGGAAATGGAAAGAAGAAAGTCTAAACACTCTGCTCTGCCCTTTTTATAATTAATCCTGCAATTGTTCTTATACTTCTTTTACGTATTGGGCAGACAGGGTTCACACTGAAGCAAGTTTGAACACCTACAATATCCATACTTACGTACCCCTGAAAAGCAGTCCCCAGTACTACTTTTCTGAGCAGGTTTTCTGAGCCAGCAGCTCTAAATAAAGATAATTGATCTTTAATTAGTGTTTAATTTAGTCTAACATTTAAACCATTGTGAGGTTTGTAAGCTTGCCAATAATTGATCCTAAATACTTTTGCTTGCCAAAATCTAATTCAATGCTCTGTGCTCTTCCCTAAACATCAACATCTGAAAACAAAAAATACTTTACTTTTTTTTGCTATTGCTTTAATTGTTATGGTCACTAACTTTTATTGTTAGCAGAGGAGGAAAACTCAGGAACTCAGGTTCTAAAGCCAATAATATATTTTATTGTTTATTTATTTTTAACAGTATGCACATATAAAACTTTTTTTTTTTTTTTCACCAATTGTAACTGTTTCTTTCTTATTGAAGATGATCACTTTTGCAAAGCTTGCTATATCATGGGATATTGATAGCTACTTTACAGGCAAGCAGTAAAATGCTAAAAGCACTTGACATTAAGTTTCTTCTGCCTCAAACAGATTAAAAAAGCTGAATCCACTCAAACACTTCATCATTTCTATGTTCCCTTTAAAAATGAAAGCTCGTCACCTCAGTTGTAAATCAGAAATGATTGAAAGAGACTAAAACACCTCCAGCCCTCAATAATTTTTTTTTTTTTTTTAATTTGTAACCAGTCACAAGTGCAGAGAAAAACCACTCTTGTCTCTTTGGTATGCTCTTATGTAATTTGACACGGGGCATAAGTAAATCAGCTGGTTGGCTGTGCCCGAATAAGACACTGAAATAGTAGCTTCACTCATTATATAACATCTTCCAGCCTTCTCTTTATAATTCAATACCTAGCCACAACAAGAGATAAATCTTTAATGGCACTACACAATTTGGGTAGGGTAAATCATTTACTCAGATGGAATTTATTTCATCAGAAGTCTGTTATGCCTGGAGTTTGAGGACAGCTTTTCCTATTGAGTTTTTAATGCCGACGGTCCTGTTATTCATTGACATAGTGTTCCAGTAACACACACATGGAGCAAAATCCTACTGTAGTAGTGCTCAGACTTCTGATCAACTCTCTCCAAGGTTGGATTTGTCATAAAAGGTATGCATTTGACCCTGTATATTTATTTTTAGCTTGTTTCTGAGCTCTGTGTCTCAACATGACCAATAAGTCAGGGATGAAAAGATAAAACTTGTGGTCACAAAACAACTGTGTAAGACATTAACAGTGCTTCTTTTCTCTTCAGTTTACCAACCTTAATTATTTATGTATTTTAAACCAAATTCCTTTCCATCAGTAACTGGCAAAGCGTTTTTGTCAACAATAGGAAATGTTTGATTCTTTGCTCTTACATGAGCATTAAAAATTATTGTTGTAAAGAAAGAAATGGTCCAGCCTTTTCCATCACCATGATTTTCTCCCCAAAACTTCCTTATAGCTCTGCTAAGATATGATTGCCCTTTTGAGAATATGCACCGCCTGGAAACTGGCTGTTTACTGGAGGATTTGTTCAGACTTTCTGTACAGTCTGCCCATTAGATGACCGCAGCATTTGTTTTCAATAGATGCCTTCATGCACAGGCAGGGAGCAGTGTGTACAAGAAGGCTATTTTGTCTCAAGGTAGATATGAATTAATGTGCTATGCTGGAATGTCTGGTAAACCAAACTAAAGCCATAAAGTTCTCCTTTTTGTGGTTCTCTATATCCAAGTAACAAGCAAAAGTCTTATTTAAAAAGCTTGCAAAAAGATAAATGTACATATAACTGTTTTTTCCTATAGGACAGCTCTTATGATAGGTGTTCAGCAGAACACTTCCTTCCATTTCTTGTAGAAACATCAGTATGGATTACAAAGACACATTGTAGTTTGCACTAGAAATAGCCTCTGCTTGTGATCTGTTAAATGCACTTGAAAACACATCTCTCACATGAGAACAGAGTTCATTCTTTTGCTAGAAGCGTTCCCCACCTAAGAAGCAGCAGAAGTTTCTAAGTGTTTAGACTATATTCTGCCTTCATGTTCACTGACTTCTAAGTGCAACAGTGAAAAAAAAAAAAAAGAGGTTTTAGCAGGTAGCAGAGGTAGCAGTATTGTTAAAAGAGCTATGTCAAGATAACAAATGCACAGCTCATTCTTTCCAGCACATTTTTATCAACAGACTTAAACACTAATTGACTAATAGGACCAGCTACATACAGATAAGAACACAACACTTTTGAGATGGGAATACCATTTAGGGATTTTTCCATTCAGCACCACTGTGCTAATGTATAATACATAATGTAAACATCAGAAGACATTTAGTGAACATAGAGTGATTTAGTAAGTGGAACAATTGTGAAACCAACACTTTAAGATTAGGCTTCCCGGGATTTTTTTCCAATGCACACCTGAGGCAGGCTGTGCTAAGATATGGTGCTTAGTGAAGGAGAACTACACCTGTCTGGAAAAAAGCTGGGAGCAATTGAAAAGCCAAGGCTGGAGGTTTGTCAGCTTGTCACTTAGATCTCAGTCCTCAAATGTCTGGGCTTTTCTCAAAGGTATTTTTAACATGGTGTTCACAACTGCTTCTTTACTTTGTTTATTCAACAGACAATTGCTCACTGTCTACGTTTGACATCAATCAGCAATTCTGGGGGATTTCTTGTTGAAGGAAAGGCCATCTCTTTTTTTAACCTGCCCAACTGGTTTAAACAAACTCTGTTTGGCTCTTGCAGATCCCACAAAGGGTCTTTGTTTCCCTGTGATTTTTTCCCCCCATTTTACTTCTTGCAGTTTGCAGTTACTTTTTTTTTTTTTTTCCCCCTGTATGTAAATCATTTAATTACTAAGAAGTGTAAATTGGTATTATTTCACATAGCTCAAAAACTGTGATTTCCCTCTGGCCCTCAGATGCATTGAGTATCCCATTATTCATCAGTGGGATACAGAGAGGCAGAGAAGGAGGGAATGACATTTTAGGTGCCCTGGGATACCCAGCTCTGTAGGCTGTTCAGCAGTTCTCAGGTCAGACATTTCACAGGTAATTTATATTTCTTTAATGGAAAACATTCAAAAACTGTGGATTTGAAAGGGAGAAGAAATTAATATTTCATTAAGAAATTAAGGTTATTTTTTTTTCCATTAAGGAAAGAAAATATTGTTAGCTACTTACTGGAGAACTGAAGCCAGGCTCCCCACCCACAAATTTATAGAAAAGAGAAAGAGTTATGAAAATCTATACAAAAGCATGGAAAGTTGAGAATTTTTTTTTGAGATCTAAGGATATTTTTCTGGCAGCTTTTGTTCATAATAATTCAGTCAAATGGTCTTCTGATAAAGAATAAGATTATCTTCTAAACTCTTTTAAGGAAGTACATCCTTTCAGCAAATTCAACAATCTGGTATTGAAATTATTTTTCAGGAAAAACAAAACAAAACAGAACAAACAAAAAAAAATCCTAAATAACATGAGGTCTAAAGAAGTATTTAAAGCAAAAAAATAGCTGAAATCTGGACTGCAAAACCACCTTAATTATTTATTTGTTATTGTGCCAAGGCTGCTCCCATGCTGTGAGTGTGAATAGAATGCACTATTCATTTGGGCTCCCATGACCAAAAAGCCCCACTTAACACATAATTGAATATTTTTCTGAACAGACATTTCTGTCAGCAGTCTCACTGGATGCCACATGGACTCCAGGTAGTTTTGAAGTACAGGTATGCAGACTGTGAAAAAACACTCTTACGTGCACTCTTAATGGAAAAAGATAGATCTGAAAAAAAGCCATCCAAACCCCAATTGACTGCACAGGTTGTGCAAAAGTGTTGCACTCCTGTAGCTCCTGTTGCTCTATGAATCTATGTGAAACCATAGAAAACCCATTACTAGCATCTACAAACAGATTTTTGGCTTCAGTTGAAGTAGCTTTACTCAGCTGGGGATTTTTTTTATTTTTTTTCCCTCCTATAAAAATGGGAAAAATGACATTGATTGATTCATGATGTCCATTTATTCAGCAGTGAATTTTAAAACTACATAGGCAATCTCTTCTTGTGAATTTCTTTTCTTTTCTTAACATGTTAAATATTTTATGCAAATTACATATAATAATTATCCAGCAGATAATTCATCAACCATATTTAATGATATTTAAAATAAGGTATTTTGGAAATGTGTACAAGCAGACGTTGATTTTTCTATTCAGATGGTTAACCATCATTTTTTACTCTGTAAATGCTGCACTTCTGAAATCAGGTCTTGCTTTCTGTGAACTCTTTCCAATCACTGGTTAAAAATGAAACGTTCCCAAGCAGATTCGTGCAATTAATACTGCTTGTTTGGGTATTTGGTGAAAGGAACACAAACAGGGCTCAAGTATGAACAAAGTACATTTGTTTAAGTATTCAAATAAGTATCTATGGAAATATGTGTTTGTCAGGCTACGGTTCCCAGCATCAATAAATGTTAGTTACATCAGAAGGCTTAAGGAAGAAACATTTCTGCACCAACACATCCAAGCTCAGGTGTCCAAAGGCAGCACCCTCCTTATATCTGGATACCAAGAATAGTTTGTTTGTCTTCAAAATTTAAACCCCATCAAGTACGGGGCAACCTCCCTCCCCAGGGAAAAACAAACAAACAAACAAACAAAAAACAGCACAACACAGATAACTTGTTTTCTGGACCCCTGGAGGGAAGGTCCACTGGGGATAGGGAAGACAGGGGCAGTGACAAGGGAGGGAAGAGTCACCATTTTCCCTGCCTGCACAGGCCACTGAGCATCAGCAGCCATGAAGAACTTTTCTGAGTGATATTGAGATCCTACCTCACAAATGTAAAATGTGCTGGGCAACACTGTTTTTTGCTTTAATTAAATCCCTACTAATTTGGCCAATAGAGTAAGTCTTGGAGGGCTGTCAAAGGTAGTCTGCATTTTCCATCCAAGAGGCACATTTGTTATTGCTAGTGCCTCACCTATGCTCATTACTATAACCATTCTGAACATTTCTTGGCTAGAAATAACAAACAAATACGCAGTGAGACAGTATAATCTACACAGAAGTGTGATGTTTCCCTATATGTATGACTGTTGGTTTATATAAAAACACTGAATAGACCAGATGTAAATAATAAAAAATAAATTCAAACCACACTCAAATATTTGAGTTTGTGAAACACATGATCCTAACATACAGTACCACAACATATATCTCTTCAGAAGCTTTAACAAGAGTCCACAGGAATGCACTGTGATGTCCTCATGTCCTGTGAAGAGCAGCCATGACAACACCCCAGAGGTACACGAGTACTAAGAAGATGAGCTAATCAGTGTTATCCTGCATAAAAAAAGTCTGCTTGTCCAGCCTTCATAACTCTGCTGAGTAAACCATATTTTTTGTTTAATTTGTGTGCTATTTCAGTCTCATCATGTCCATGCAGCTTCATGCATGTCTTGCTCTTAGTTTTGTTTTTTATTCCGATTTGGATCACTTCTTTCCTACCGCTATGTGAACACCCACCTCTCAGGCTTGTTCCACACCCTCCTCGCCCATTACATGCATAGACATTTCAACAGCAGCTAGGGATTTGGTGGATTAATGTATTTACTTAAACATCCAGTTGCAGACAGTTTAACATTCCTAGGGAAGTGTTCTCATAATATAGTTTTCCTAAGATGGCCTGAAAATGGGATCAAAATCAAGACACTTCAAGTAGCAAGTTATCCTTTAAAATCAGGAATGGTTTTTAAATCTCAGTTGATACATTCTCCTTCCTAAAAGTCACTTTCATGAAAGTTACCCTCATTTTTATGACCTTTTTGCCCTCTTAAATTTGAAAGTTGTAAAGAAATAGGATTTTCCCTTATTATTTCAATGGATACTCACCACTCAGGCTTTAGACAAAGCAAGTTGTTCTAAATAACGAGACTTAATGAGATGACTGTCTGTATTTATGATTTGACAGTCAGTTATTTAAGCATTGTCAGAACAGAAGGTGGTTAATAGTGGGGAAAAGAAAAAACAAACAAAAAAAAGAACTCCATAGTTAAAACTGAAAGGCTCTTTAGGTTGCAACCTGGAAGCCTGCCCAGATTGCTAACCATTGACAATGCTGCCTAATTGCTACGGAGCCCTCAAATGTGAAGCTTCTTGATATCTCATGCAGAAACATGTTTGTCTCCCCTGAAGTTCAATGGTAATATTAGTGTATTAACTGACAAAAGCTGACCACCTGTACTTTCAGTTCTGATCTTTGCAGACAAGTAGGGGGCTGCCAAGGTGGGGGGCAGCACACAGGGTGCCAGGGATGCGGGGCCCCTGACCACAGTGGGCTCTCCAGTGTACTCTGCTCCTGCATGCCACAGCCTGAAGTCCAATCTTACCCCAACTCTGAGGTCCTCCTCAAGCATCTAGTAAGGTAAACAGACCACAGTCATCTCCCAAAGAGGTGATTTGTGTTGTGGTTTTGTTTTCTGACTGTTCTGAAAGGATATTTGCAATGGTGTCTATTACAGGTCCTTTTCTGCCTTAGTCTATCACATTTTTCACTTCTTGCTTCTTAATCTCTTCCTTGTTTCCTTTTATGCTTTGCAACAAACATGAGGCGGCACAGGAGTTCACATAATCTTTGTTTTCTCTGTAACTCCAGATATCTGAAGACTTTCAGGGGCAACAAATATGCTTTGACAAGGATACTGAAAACAACTCTCTGGTCTCTTCCAAAGCTACAACATAATTAAAGTCTTACTTTTAAAGGAAGTGAAGTATACAGAACAAAAGAGGAGCAAGTAACGTTTTTATTAAGCAAGATGAATAGAGAACACACTGAAAGCTTTTTCATGTGTTTTATTCCCTATACTTTTTCTTTATCTGTTGGCAGTGGAGAAACAATGGAGAAACTGCCATTTTCTTCCTCTTCCTTCCCCTAGGACTGCAGTACCCTCCAACTGTGTTTGGCAACATCACCTGATCAGGACATGTGCTTTCAGACTAGAGTTATTAAACACCATAAGTTAATCAAATGACAGACTTCACCAAGGACATAAAGCAGTGTTTGTCCCACAAACAATACTGTGCCCCAAGGCTTAAAGAACAGTACAACAAAAGCAAATTACAGCACACAGAAACTTATGACTGGAGTAAGGAAATTTATGAGTGCTTTTAAAGTTTGTTGACAAACACCTGCCCAATGTATTATTTACCACTCTGCCTGGACAGCACTTCAGTAAACTTACATTATGTTTTTCTGAACTAAGAAGGAAAACTATGCTTGTTTTTTCCACAGCATGTTGAAAAAAAAAAAAAAAAAAAAAAAAAAAAACATCTAGAAAGTAAACCTAATAATGCAAAACCAACCTCCAGGCTGTCAAATGAACCTCAGAGAGCTGTTTCATAGAAAAGGAATAATAAAAAACAGAGAGCCAGTCCTGGGATCTCTTTCACAGAGTGTCGTGTGTCATGTGTGTCTTCTATACACAATAATATACGTGCAACAACAACGCCATTTGTAACTAACAGAGGTATTTGGGTACCCGAAACCATGCACCTGTCCTCACAGGAAAGGACAGCTAGAGAAGAGGCAGGTCTAGTTAGCCAGGATGACTTGCTTGCTGTGCTTTGTAAACAGCACAGGTTTATGATCCAAATACATCCCAATCTTGCCTGCCCAAGGAGCTTAAAAATTTTCATCTATTCCACTCCAAAACTCACACAAAGACTATGATGTTTCATAAGACTTAGAATAAAGTTTTGCTCTGCATTTTCCTAGGGCTTTAATACTCATCTCTCAGTCTTCCTATCTGCAGAAAAAACAAGAAAACAAACTATATTTTTGCTTTGCTTTAGCAACATGAACCAGTGGGCTCACAGTGAAAGAATGGCACAGAAAGTACCTCTCACTTTGTGTTGTGATCATACAATCACACTTACTATTATTTTTAAGCAATAACGAAAATTCTGGCTGTCTGTTGTCCTGGATGACTGCTTGCAATTTAGACATCCCAGATGATGCACTGAATGCCTCCTGGTTTCACAGCTCTTTGTCCTCTCTTGCTCTGTAATCTCAGGGCTCCTTGTTGAGAAAAAATGAAACCCTGAAGCTTGCTAGATATCCAGTGTTCAGAAAGTCATGAGGTTCCAGTACATCGGCATTTATTTCAGATGTGGATGACAAGAGAATCTGGACTTGTCAAATAATGAACTTCTAGAGGGGCTTGCAGATTCAATGCAGCAAAATACTTCACAATCAGATTTCTGGGAAGTGCTTGGAAAAACTCGGAAAAGAATTACCTCATTGGAGAAATACACCATTTTCAGATAATGCTGTATAAAATGTTCAGACATGCTTTTAGTGGGTGCAGTTGGCAAGACTCCTCTCTGGGATGGTAAAAGGCCTTTCCCTAAATGCATTTTAAGTATTTTAGAAGAGCTTTTATCTTATTTTTATGCTTTGGTGACAAGAAAGCCATATGGGCAGAAAATCAGTGCCTTCATTACATGGTTACCCCAAGAACTGCTTCAAGAAATAATATGCCAAAATACTTTCTGAGACTGAGACAAATTTCTTATTACAGTTTAAGCCAGAGACTCCACAACAACACAAATACATAAATGGATATAGTGTAAAAAACAAAAAACAAACAAAAAAACCTACTTACTAATGCAGGGAAATTTTCACCTTAAAATATCACTTACTCTTATCTGAAGTAAAGATTGGCCATGAACACATGCACACCACAGACAGCTTATACCAACTCATAAATTAGCTTAGTCCTAAATTTTAGTCATAAACTTCTAGTTATCTGGACATGAGTTACACACAATCGTTACACGCGATTAGGTGCACACACAATCCTAGGAAGGCTGAATGGGAGTGTCAAGCCCAAAGGCAGCAGGAGATGGCTAGAAGCAAAAAATGGCAACCAATCCCCAGCATTACGTCTTCCTTTCAGTGAGAAGCAACCAATTCTTGCATGTTTAAGTGATGCAGATGCCATGCCAGTTAGGAAACTGAAGAGGAGAGATCCTATGCTGATAGAGGAGATGTGCACACAGAACTTTGAAGACCTTTGGAGTTTTCCTATGAAGTGCTACAGAAGTGCTGGAGGGGACACTGTGCCCTGGGTGCACTTGCAAAGAAAGAAATGGGATAACGCCTTCAATAAGAATGAAAATTTTTCTCTCCGTTACATGGTATCACTTTAAAAATGGAAACTGCACTGAACGGTTAGGTGTTTTGTTTACACGTCAGGCTGAAACAACTTATTTTTAAAAGTCAGCTTTCTCCCTCATATTTGTCCTATCAATCATTTATGTCATGGCTTTTCTCACACATTCCCAAGCTGAGCTCACCCATTTTTGCAAGGGCTTTTGACATAAAGCCTGAATCTGGTTGATCTCTTGGATGATATTTAGCCTGAGAAAAAAGCATAGCAAGAATTTAGCCTTTAACCTTTGGCTTCCAGACTGCTAGGAAAAACAAAGACATCTTTTCACAGGACAACAAAGTGATCAATACTGCACCATCATGCTTTGGGTTTCTGGAAGAGATGCATTTACAAGTTTTGCTTTATGAAAGAAGTTCATTTTCTCAGACTCTTACTGTTATGGGCCACTGGGAATGAATGTGCACATAAACTGGTGTGGCTGGTGCTTGCCAGTGCTTCGGTTGCAAGGCCAAGCTTGGGCAGCATTTTGATCCTTCCCTTCCAGAGAAGTCCTGCAGAACTACAGCAACCACAGCAGGTCCTTCCCCAATACAAAATCGCCTACAGAAACATTCCCACACCTTCTGTTTTTCCAGTTTTATCACTCTTTACCTCGGGGTCAGCTTGGACCAAAGCCTAGCATATTGGAGAAACGAGGGCACATCTGGGTAGAACAGTCTAATTTGACTTTGTTCAGTCCATCACAGTAGGCAGTCTCACTATTAAGAAAAAAAGCTCTTTAAAAAAGTTTTCACAAATGAATTAGGTGGTTTAGAAATGCAGGAGTTATCTCACAGAAGAAATACTGAAGTCTTTTTGTTCTGAAGTGACTCTGAGATGATTCTTTCCTTTTTCTATTTTTTGGTCTACTGATGTAAATTTGCCACATGACCAACCTGCACTACCTTTCTTTTTACTTTATTTGCATAGCACCTAAAAGAGGTGACAGCAGACTTAATTTTGGCCAGTCATTCCCTCTTGACAGGTGCTATCAGGACACTGACTAAAAGGATTTCTGATGATATGATTTTGCGATGTTCCAAAACCCCTCATATCTGCCATTCTTGTCATCATTGTCATTTAAACTGAAAATTTCATACACACATTGAAAAAAACAAAATCAAACAAAAAAAAAATACCCCCCCACAAACAAACAAACAAAAAAAAGAAAACAGCCATTATCATTTAAAAAAATCACTACAAGAAAGCACCTTTGACTGAAGTGTCCAGGTATATTCTGTAATAAATGTTAATGAAGTTTGGTCAAACCAAGCCTGATCTAATAGCCTGATAATGAAAAGTGACAAACCTGAAGGACAGAAAATTATTAACTGTTTTTTTTTTTTTTTTCTTTCCCCTGGAGACTGGTAAATCTCATTATGTTTTATAACTCACTTCTAAGTTAAATTAGAAAATTATGTTATATTATATAATTTTAAATTAAATTAGCAGACCTTTAAATAGAAGACAGAAAATGGAAGAAAAACATTTCATATTCCTCATATGCATATTTCCCAGTTTTGGAAAGTACAACTCCAGAATGAATCACTAGCAGACTGGACTACATTCTTCAAGTCACAGCTAGTTTCAGTCACTGTAATCTAAATCTTGATGAACAACTGGACTGTTCCCATGCCAACTGACAGCCAAGGTCTATGATGTTTGTCTGTCCCAATTTTTTAATGCCCCAAAAAAGAATAGATGGTAAAATAAATTGCAGATGCTGTCAGGCTACACTATTTTAAGATTATCCTGGTCATTTCCACTGACAGTAGGGAACATGCTGACTGCAGTAATGGCATTAAAAAGGGATTTAAAATTAATTAAGGAATTTCAGTGTTGTGCCAGAAGAGGTAAATAAGGTGACATGCTGTCTGAAGGTATCATGAAAATACTAGCTCCTCTGAGTATGTAAAAATCAAGGTAATTTTTGAAACATCTATCACTATCCTGAATTTCTTACACAGCACGTACTTCTCTCCCTCCCCCCCCCCCCCCCCCCCCTTTTTTTTGTTAGTTACCAAATAGGGGAAATTTAATTTTAAACAACAATTGGATATTTGGGATGTCCTTATACAGTGACTGAAAAATATCAAAATACACTGGAACTCATGAAAGAAAGATAATGCCCGAGTGTACAGTGTTCACAAGAAGATTTAGTTGTTTATTTATTTGGTTGGTTGGTTGTGTTTTTGGGCAGTGTGGGGATGGGAGAAACAATTTTAGTTTCTTGATGGGAAAATTTTTGTAAGGATTTTTAGTTATAACCATGGTTATGACAAAGTTTCTTAGTAGGCTCCACTCAGAAACCGAGCCATCCCAAAATACCTGTCAAGGAACTTGGGTCAAATGCAAAAATAGGTCTGACACTTAAATACATTAGTTGTGGCAGGATTTATACCTATTCCTTCTGCATTTCTGTGAGTGCCCTAATGACCAGAAGAATTAGCTATTTTTAAGCATGAGAAATGAAGCAGAAGAGTGGAAGCTGACATACTGTTGGAACAAACCCGCTGACCTGACCTACATTGTAATAGCTCACATTTTTTAGCCGGATGCCACTGTTGCAGTTATGATATTTTAGCCAAGACAGCAACTACAAAGGGATTTTATGTTATGATTTTCACACATTAGTGATGGTTGTAACATTATAGACAGCATTGAAGAAAGCCACTTGTCCCAAATCTTATTTTCTTAGTGAGTCAAAAAGGACTTATCTCACACGACATCAGTTCAATCAGGATTGAAAAAGATTGGAGGACTAGGGCTTAAAAGCCTCTGAGAGAAAAGCTTCAGTAGACAAAACATTACAACAAGGGAAAATAAAAGACATCATTGATAAAATTTCATTGACAATATCACTAATTATTTGAGTCAAGTTTACATAATCAAGAATTGACCCAAACCCTCAAAACTAATAATAGAAAAACACTTTCTACTAGGATTCTCAGCTCTGCAAATCGGAGATTTGCCCCGATAGTCATTCCTTAACTTCAGTTCATTTCATTGTTGCAAAATGTCAATACCATCCCAAGCTGTGGAGGTATTTCACACACACTCCTCCATCCCAAATCCAAGCCCAAATGGAAATTTAATTAGGTGCTTTATGTGTGCACTCCTGAGAAAAACAAAACAAAACAAAACAAAACAAAGCAAAACAAAACAAAAACATTTGAGAAGTAAGATACTGAACCTCAGCACAAATTCTGGACCTCAGCACATCTGAGTTCCTATCATGTGATGCTCAAAAGGAAGTACCACAACACTGCACATGGTGAGTGGCTGCCCCTTCTTTTCTCCTCTTTGATCAAATTTTGCCCAGGTGTTTAGATAAACCAGACCTAAACCACTAGACCATTTACAGATGATAATCTTTCTTCAGAATTCACATTGCAAGAGCAAAACAAGTTGATTCAGTTTTCTGAAACAGTTCCTCCAAGACTAGTCTTAACCAAACATCTGAATCTCTTTTCCCCTCCAAGCCATGAGGACTGGGGATGGTTTGGTATATGGGTCCTGTCAAAGCTTTTCTTAGCACCAGAACTGAAGTCACTTCACCTCTCCATGGTTTAGCTTACTTCTCTGTGTCTGTTCTGGCTTAAATTGGAGCTTCTTGCAGGCCAGCTTCCAAATGAAAACTACCCTAAGAAAAGCTTGGTTGCTATCTTAAGGCAAATAGTGAGCGTTAAGTAGCACTGGGAGCAAATATTTGGGGTTATGACGTCTGTCCTGATCCAGGGTCATCACCTGACCAGTTTACACGTCACAGACCTAATGGAAACAGGATATGGACATCACTGTAAAGTAGCAGCTTCAGACTTGGGGTCAAAGGGGACTCTTTATTTACTCTTTATTGTGAAAAGGAGAAGGCCAGACACATCTCAAAGTGTATGTGTATGCAGCAGACAAGCAGAATGCTAGCCCCTGGGTGGGAGGAAGCATTTACGTCCTGTTGGAAATGGATGTCTGTTTATTTTGTATTAGAACTAATTAACTGCAAGTCACTTGTCAGAAGAGGAACAATTTTTCTTGTGTCAGACATTCCTGTCAGAGGGGCCAGGCAGGCACAGCTGTTGAGCAGGGCCATATGCTGCTCATGGGTGTAGGGTGGTCTCTGAGTTGAGCCCAAGGAGGAGGTGGGATGGTACAACTGGGCATAGTTGTGCCTCACCAGCAGAAAAATACTGCCTGAAGTTCACTGGGTAAATGACCATTTCATTATTATACCAAGGGGTATATACCTAGGAAAATGACATGAAAAATAAAATCTGTGCTTGACTTCCTGATGGGTCCTGTGATAACAGCATGCTCTTATTTCTCTGATGGCCACAAAATCTCTGAGATAACCAAAGCCTTACAATTCCCAAATCAAGCACCTCCCTAAGATCTGAAAACATAAGTTAACCTAAAAATGAAAAAGTTTAGTTGTGGTGATCAGAATGCCAACATTCCTATCCTTGTAGAATGACAACAAAAGGTTTCCCCAAATATAACTCACCACATCTGAATGTCAGATGTTACTAGAGGCTGAATTCATCCCAGATGTGATCAGGTACACTCAATTTCCTGCAGAAGGCTCAAGAGGAGCAATTCTGTTGTGTCCACCCATACTATCACATTTAGAGCTGGCTTGGATGTTCTGACCTGCTGCACAGGTCATATTCATGCTGCTGCTACTGTCTTTTTTTTTTTTTTTTTTTTTTTTTTTTTTTTCTGTCTGCGTATTTATTTTGTGTCCCAGTACCATACCTGACAGTCTCATGTTTTTCAGATATAATAGCTTTGGCTCTGAAATGCCAATAAGTATTCAGAGCAATTAAATAACGTTTACAGGTGTAGATCATTATGATAAGCATGAGCTATTGCTTTGCTTGTTACCAGAAAATGCAGCTGGGTTGGCATGTGCAAAAGTTATTTTAAAAGATGGTTTGAACCTAACAAATTCACAATCTCAAGCCATTTATGCTTAAATGATTTAAGAATGAATTAAGAAAATGGTGCTACATATCTTTAAAAAAAAAAAAATTAAGCACATAAGACAGGGAAATGGCACAGAGATAAATATTTTTAAAGCAAAGCTCAAGAAAAGAGCCTGTAAGAACATGAATACAACACCTCCTGTCAATCTCTAGGCAGAATTATCTCCTAGTCATTTCCCAAAATGTTATATAACACTTATCAGGATTATCAGGCCTGTCCAACTAGTAATCAGATAGTTCAGAACCACAACAACAGCGAATTGTGTTAGATACACCACAACCTCGTGCTACCAACAGATACTTTGAAAGGAAAAAAGGTCCTAAAAAAACTAGATGCGCAGCACCCTCTAGTGACATTCGCATGTCCCCACGCTCGGCTTTATCAAGTGGTGCTACTGAGGAAACACAAACAAACAAACAAACAAAAAAACAACACACACATTAATGACAGAAAAAGCTTTCCAGAAATATAAATGTGCAGAAGAAAGAACCAATGAAACACCAGTCACTGTGAAAAAATCCAGATCATCTGTCTCACCCCACTGCCAAGTCATTCTATTAAGTTTACTGAAAAATTTTCAGTTCACTGAAAATTCAGCGATTTCTCCCGTTTTCCTAGAAAGTTAGGTCTAAAAACAACCCTGGAAAATAAAGTTATTACTAAGCAGAACATCCTGCTTCTCTAAATTCAGAGCTTTTCACTCTATGTTCCACTTTTCAAGGTTTTATTGTATTTGATCAATTTACTTAGGAAAATATTAACATTATACTTCGCATTTAAATTACCACTGATTTTTTTTTTCCTCTAGAAAAAGTTTACAGAGAAATCACTATGTCTTCATTTCCACCTTTTTTTTTTTTTTTTTTTTTTTTGATGAGAAAATCTCCATTGGAAAACTAAGAAATACAGAAAGCAAGCGTTTCTATTACTAACTCATGTATTACAAGACCTATGCCCTGGAAGCAAATGTAAATTTATTTCACTCAACAATGCAAAGTTACATACAAAATATAAATACTGTATTGAAGAAAGTTGAGAACTGAACACAACTTTTTAGGATGTAAACAGATACCTATGTGTTCTTCTGGCACTGTCAATTCACTGTTTTATGATCTGACCTCTCAACTCTTCTTCCCCCCTCAAATTCAAAGATCAAGCTCTGGGAATCATCATTAATGCAAGATCTCAGCATTTTTGGGGGTGCTGTTAAATAACATTTTTTTACTCTTCATCTGAAGAAATACAAATGAAAGGAAAATACAGAAGTTCATGATCCAGGATGTGTACTTTTACCCATTTTAAGTTCCTTATTACAAGTGAGCCCAAGTATTATTATTATTATTATTATTATTATTATTATTATTATTGTTGTTGTTGTTGTTGTTGTTGTTATTATTGTTATTTTTAATTTTGAGTATGATAAGGCATATTTAAGACAATACTGGGGTCCTGCAACATTAGTAAGGGAAGAAGAATACAGATTTAATTCAGCACTTAAAAAACACCTTATTTCATCAGGATATTTAACCTCTGAAGCTTAACTTAGTAAAAAACATGACTTAAACATGTGATTAATTTTTCAGTGGAAAGCAACAAGATACTTAAGGAAAGGATAATTCATGGACGTATGCAAGTTGCCTAGCAGAGGGATATGCAGGTTGTGTTGGACATACGGAGAACTTTTGGCTTCACTTCTGAGCTAATTTTCCTTTCCACTCAAAATATAAATACATTTTGGTGACATGCAACCTAGATACCTTAAGAAGCATTTTAAAAACTTGGTCAAAATAGGATTACGATTTTTTGATTGAAGCCAAGGTCAGGGACTGTATAACTTGGACCGATCCAAAACAAAGCCCAACAAACTCCTCCTTCCCTTCCCAAATACACACAGACAGACAGACAGACAGTTTCTCAGGTCGTCTTACCTGTGTCTCCTAGTACCTTGACAGGACAATTCAGGGCTGCATATACATCTACACACACCGTCAATTAATTAATAAAACAAGTTTGCTTTCTGGAGTCATTTCTCTAAATCTCAAATGCTTGAATGCATTTCAGTCTGAATAGGGAAGAGAAAAGCTTCCCACAGTGCTGGTGCTTTCTCGCCTGTGTGTTTCAGATTGCCCCTCCCTTGTGTTCAGCAGATTATGGCTGTCACACTTGCCTCTGTTCATTTATGCTAGCTAATAATTACGCCCTTCAGTCAGGGTCTAAGAGGTCCCTATATCATTTACCAGCAACGAATAAGATAATACCATTAAATTCCACAAAGTTACATTACTCCTATAAGGAAAAGTATACAAGAAAATTGCAGGAAAACAAGAAAAATGTTTTTCAACTGAGTCACCACAGAGCTGCATACAGAGGTCGGGTCTGATGACTTCTTACTGGGTTGCACTGCTTTGAAGAAAGCTTCAGTGAGATTTTATAGTAGGCAATGTTAAATGACATGCATTCACAAGAGCACAAAGAACATTTAAAACCTTAGAGACACTTTTCAGAAGCAGTTAAATAAAGTATAACAAAGTAAATAAAGTACAAGGGACTGCTTTCACAAGAAGCTTTCTCATGAGAATTGATATTTTTATTTTCCCTGTTAGTCACAGTGAGAAAGCTTTGTGTTCTATCTTACCACTTTGAGTTTCTTGCAGGGATACCTTTACCACTGCAGTTTCAACCAATATTTTAATCAATGTTTTTTAAATGGTATCTTTGAGGATATTCTTCACCTCTAAATTTGATGTTTCTCTTGCACATAAACATGCATCCTTCTGTCCCTAAGTGTCAATTCATTAAGTTGATTTTTTTTCCAGCTGTAAATTTTTGAAGCAAAGCTGAAGTACAAAGATGCACATGAATATAATAGCTTAAATCACATGATCATCATACAACAGAACAAACACCTCAAAGACTAGTAGGATATATATACAATACATATACACCATTACTCAAATCTCATAAACCTTTTTCATGGCATTTCAAAGCTGCCATTAAGTTATAATCTCCCAAAGAACTGGAGATTATTATTTCCATTGCTCAGAGCTGAATTATAATGCTACATTATTTTATATAATTTGTGCAGTCATTAAATAGATATACTCATACATTACCATAAATCAATGAGCTGATCTCAAGAGTTTAGGAATACTTTAGCATTCAATTTGTAGCTTGGATTGCTGTTCTTTTGTGTTCCCCAGTAGCACATCATTTGTGTCTATGTCCCAGTGGGATCTAAACTTTCTCAATTTTAGTGTGCTGCTTTGACTTTCTGACCTTCAGTTTTAAATACAAAGTCACTGGCAAGATCTCAACAACACTCACTGCAAAGCTTGGAAGGATTACCTTCAGTCAGTGCTGGAGAGCTCTGCAGGAATGATCAAAGTTTAATCTGTTTCTAATTAAAAGCTGATCTGCTTGACCCTGTGTTTTAAAAATATCAAGCTGTTTATATAAACTCTTTTGGTTTTTCTTTTTTTTTTTTTTTTTTTTTTTAACCCCCATGATTTTATAACAGAAATAAAAAGAATAAAAGGCACTAGAAAGATGTTTCTTTAGTGGTTCGGGTAGTTATGTTTTAGAATAATTAACACAAGAAACACCAAAATTGACTTATAGAATGCTAGAAGTGAAAAGACTGAAGAGGTGAATTGGTAAATTAGATGCATGAAGCCATCTTTCACTAAAAAGAGCAAAGTTAATTACAAAACAGCAACAGACTGTATAAACAACCACTGCCTGCGTGATGTACCCAATCTGAGATGCTATAGTTCAGTTAAGCAATGACAGGCCACCAAAGGGACACAAGAGTCACAGAGGAGATCATGTGGATAAATAGCATTGCTGTTAAGTCTTACTTCAGAGTATTTACTAGATAACTAACATTAGGTAACAGCTACCTCCAATTCAGACCCATAAGGTACTTGAGAACAAGGATTCAGCAGTTTGTATAAGCTGGTTTATCTGAGCCACCCACTCCCTTTTTATTTTCTTCTTGTTTCTCCATTTTTCCTTCTTTCTATTCAGACAGACCAAAGAGGTCTCCTGGTTTATTTTTATTTTTGTTACCCAACCAAGAGAAAGCAAAAAACTAATCAACCAATGAAAAAACAAACAAACAAACAAACAAACAAACAAACAAACAAAATAAAAAACAGCAAAGCAAGCAAGCAAGCAAGCAAACAATAACAAAACAACCTAGGCTATTCTTTGAAATAATATTTTGTTTTACATGAAAGATTGAGTGTACTGGTTTTAGCCAGGATTGAATTAATTTGCTTCATAATAGTTTGTATGGTACTTTGTTTTGGATTTGTGACCAAGACAGTGCTGATAACTCACCAATGTTTTAGTTGCTGCTGAGCAGTTTTTGCTCAGACTCAAGGACAATTTTGTGCAAGGGCTGGGGGTGCAGAAGGAATTGGGAGGAGACACAACCAGGACAGGTGACCCTAACTGACCAAAGGGATGTGGCCATATACCATACAACACCATGTGCATCAATAAACCTGGTGAAAGAAGGAGGAGAGGGGACATTCAGGGTGCTGGCATATGTCTTCCCAAGTAACTGTTAAGTGTGATAGAACTCTGCTTTCCTGGAAGTGGCTGAATATGTGCCTGATGATTAGAGGTTGTGAAGGGATTCCTTGTTTTGCAAGGAATGTGGAACTTCTGCTTTCCCTATTAAATTGTCTTTATCTCAACACACGATTTCTCTCAATTTTACCCTTCCAATTCTCTTCCCCATCCCATGTGGAGGGTGTGGGCTAGTGATGCTTAGCTGCCTAACAGGATTAACAAGCAACAGAGAAAGACTGAAGTTTTACCTCTGAACAACAACCTTTTCAGTCTGACTGTGATGTAGGCTGGATTTTTTAAAACAAAATTTCTCCTGAATATCCTATTTCTGAGAACTCTCTCACACATTCTCAAGCATGCTGCAACTCATGAGTTTACAGATTACTGGGGGTTGGGTGTGTGTTTCACCCTGTGTGCTGTGATGCATGACCTACAGAAAACTACATACTAAGGTTAAAAATTATCACAGTCAAGTGCTGAGCAGCACATATAACTTGTTTCCTTTTGTTTTCAGCCTACCTTGAGTTACACAGTCCTTTCCTGAGGTCTGTGCATTCACTGTCAGAGGCCCTGGGAAACAAAAGCTCCTCTTCATCCACCTTCTTGAACAGCACAGAATGCAACAGAAACTCATTTGAGAAGCTTGTTATAGTAAGGCGTAGTGCTTTCATCTGAAAGCTGTTCATAGCTAGAGGCTACAGGACCCCATTTTGTAGCCTGCTTTGACAGAAATAGGATGAAATGAAGCCATTATTTTTGTTAATAGGTGTGCACAATACACAGAAGATAACATTTAGCAACACTACTTCTTGGGACACCCAGATGGTACAATGCTATGACTTCCATGTAAAAGTTCTTGTTTGGGTTTGAAGATGGGTCAACAGAGTTGTGACTATGGCTAAGACAATAGTAGCACTCACCTGAAGGAACTGGAAAAGATTTCATGGTTTATATTTACTTTCCTTTACCCTAATCTTTTTTCTCCCTCCCCCTGCCCCATTTTGTATATTTTTTCAACTAGAGTTTGAAAAGATAACTGCGGGCATTGTTTATCCCTGTGAAATGGGATAAACAAATATCCCTGTGAATGTCCTGTGAAAACTTTTCTCCTTAGATGTAGTATTTACTCACACTTCACCATGTCTGTGTGATTTCCAGGTTATGCTGCTGTAGTGCACTGTACTTGAGGTTATGGTTTATTATGACAATGAAAATGTAATCCAAATGCATTGACTCATTTGTTAAACAACCCACCAATAAACTTGCATCAGTGCTTTGTAACTCTTAGTGATTTGTGGTATCCTCTCAGAAAGATTATGATGTTGGTCACTTCAGCTAAAGCCAATTGTCCCCACTAATAACATACACTCAAGGTTGTTTTTAAGCAAATATCTGTCATTGCTTGCTCTAACCAGCTGAGAAATTACACAGATTTGAAGTAATTCCACTTTAAGTGCTAAATATTTCCTTTCCTTATGTGGTAGATGTGAACAATTCAAGAAGTCTTGAACTGGTTTCTCTAGCCAGTTGAGTCTTTTCAGTGACAGCTTTGCATATTATAACTTCAGGAGAGAAGGTATTTCATGAAAATGGTTAAACGCAGCCTGGGTTTAAGTGGCAGAAACAGTGAAGATTAGAGATGGTGTTGTGACTTACTTATTCCAGGACTTGATGTCTATTTGCTGTCTTTGTCACAGCAGAATGAGTCATTTCCAGTAGACAGCTGTGCAGATCAGGCTCAGATGTGTGCTGGGTTGGGTTTTGTTAAAATAAACAGATGCAGCTGCATTTTTACCCTACATTTGTGACTGGGTATTATAGAAAAATGTTAATCAACAATATTGACTTCTGAATTATTAGTGTCCACTAAGCTGACATTTCCATGGTTTGATCCCTGGAGAAAATACATTCTCTCCATTCCAAAACAAAGTTGTTTGTTGTGGAAATATGAAAAGCAAGTCACAGGAAACTCCTGAAATGGCAGGAATGGTCTGGTGGAAATAAGTTTGAGAACTAAAAATGAGACAGAAGCTGTCTTTTCTAAAACAGCAGGACACATACGAAATGTTTTGAATTCCCTCAAGAGTGACACAATAAGGAATTTTGGTTTTGGGAGATTTTCACATAACTCAAATTAAGGATCTGGCTCTTGGGATATAGAATCATGGTGTGACCAGGCTTGAATAGATGTTTTAGGGTTGGAGGGACAGGCTCCATGTATTCAGCAGTTGCCAGATACTCTGGAAGGGCACCAAGCTCTTGCTGTTAGATAATCTAACTCACCATAGATTGCTAGATATAACTGAGGTGGGAGAAGAAAAGCTGCAAAAGAGAGGTGGAATCTATCAAATATTTACATGAAGGCTTTCTCTGAGCTGGTTGTAGACTGAGAGGAGGGAAGAGCAGAACTGATGATTTTCTTGCAAGGGTACTATAACTTCTGTCTTATTACTATGATGGGAGAGCATTTCTGCAAATGGGAAAGAGCTTTCTGCCAAGCAAATCTGCTTTTCTCTAAAAACTGTACTGGCACTGCAATCCCCACATCCTTTGAAGAACAAATATATGTGACACTGCAGCTACGGTTATGGAAATACTTACATTTCTGCTTAATGCACTGTTTGCTTTTCACAGTTCTGCTTTCTGGAACATCATGTGTCTTATACCTCCAGAAATCTTGTCACTGCAGGGAACGGTAACAACAGTGATGTCTGGCATAAAAACAAGTGTCCATAAAAAAGAGGAAAAACTTCAGTAGGAATAATTGCCTACTTGGAACAACTTAACACTAGATAAAAGACACTATAATAAGTCTCCTAACAACAGGTTTGGCATTGTTTTTGGAACATAAGGAACAGCTGGCACCTCAGTATAAAACAAGCCATATCAGCATCTGTTGTCCAAACCAAATACTCCACTGCATTTTTTCTGAAGAAGGAAAATAAAAAGAAGTCAGCTATCCTGGGAAAAACCTCAAAAGTGCATGTTTTTATGTTCAGGTTGCTGTTTTGGGAGTTGTTAGGAGTTTCTAATTAGATGCAACTACTTGCTAATATTGCAGTGAGACTATAGACTATGGGTCATACTTGCTTTACACAAAATTTCCTCTGAAACAGGCATGAGTTGATGTTTTCAGGAATGATGTGGTGCATGCCTGTCTTGGACATTTTGCACTGAACAGTTAATGAACATCCGAGAAAATACTGAGATGTGTGACTGTAAGGGATATGGACTTCTTATCTTTTCCTGAGATCAGTTAATAAAATTTGTATTTGATCTTATAGCCTATGTGCTGAAATAGATATACTGTAGTTCCCACATCCTTAATTTCCATAGAAACTCCTCGTTACCATGAACTGTTAGAGAAGCATCTCTGCAAAACAAAGAAAGAGGAGTCTGGCTGGGGATTCCTTTTCCATAGCTTGTACAAGTAACAAGAAAGAACTTTTCTGCAGGTTGGCATAAAGCACTGTACAAACATGAATTCAGATTCAGAACAGGCACATATTAAACCATCAGTTGACCAAAATAAAGTGTTATAGACTGTCCCAGAAGTGTGGGAAGGTCAGATTATAAATCTTGAAAGTCAATAGCTGTGCTTGTGCTGATCCTGCTCCCATCACTCCAGCAGGACCTGAGTGCATTTGCAGAGCTTGGAGCAC